CATATTAATGAGTCGCGGTTATGATTGTTAAGTTGCTTATATAGATATAGATTAAATGCATGTTATAGAATAAAATTTTATATCCGGTTTAGTTATTGTTTTCGGTAACTGCTGATGGGTTTATCTGTCTTAGTCATAACGCTCTTTCATGTTGTTTGAGTCTAGTTCATATTTTTCGTCCGGTATCTCCAATATATTCTTTGCCGCATATGCATGGAATGCTGTAAACTCCTGGCATCTCAAATGGAATTTTGTCTTTGACGAATCGAAGATGATGAGAGATTTCTGGACAAGTGATAAATCTGGTTTTGACGTTAAATTTCTTTAGAATACTTTTGATATGTGAGTGATGTTTTGAATGTAAGGAAGGACCATAGTGGCTAGTGTAGAATTACTTTCGGCTTCATTGCTATGGTGGTGAAGTGTATTTTGTAATTTAACGCTTAATGTTTAAATTATTAGAAACAAGAGCAGAGCTATGGTATTTTAATTCTGGGTTGGTGCGGTCTCTCCAATGTATTCTTTGCCGCATATGCATGGAATGCTGTAAACTCCTGGCATCTCAAATGGAATTTTGTCTTTGACGAATCGAAGATGATGAGAGATTTCTGGACAAGTGATAAATCTGGTTTTGACGTTAAATTTCTTTATAATACTTTTGATATGTGAGTGATGTTTTGAATGTAAGGAAGGACCATAGTGGCTAGTGTAGAATTACTTTCGGCCTCATTGCTATGGTGGTGAAGTGTATTTTGTAATTTAACGCTTAATGTTTAAATTATTAGAAACAAGAGCAGAGCTATGGTATTTTAATTCTGGGTTGGTGCGGTCTCTCCAATGTATTCTTTGCCGCATATGCATGGAATGCTGTAAACTCCTGGCATCTCAAATGGAATTTTGTCTTTGGCGAATCAAAGATGTTGAGAGATTTTTATAAATCTGGTTTACAACTCTTGATATGTGATCGGTGATATTTTAAATGTAAGAAAGGATCACAGTGGCAAGTTTAGGATTGCTTTCGGCCTCATTGGAAGGTTGTGGTGAAGTGTATTTTTTCATGGAAAGCTTAATATCTTTAATGTGGAAATTATTAGAGAGAAGAGCAGAGGCAAGATACTGGGTTCAGTGACTCGAGCTGAGATATTTTTACAGCTCTATAAACAAGAGAGTTGATAACTGATGATTTTTGGGTCGGATGGTGATGTGAACATGCATTAAGGTATCGGTCTGTGTGCGTAGGTCTTCTGTAAACACAATGACCAAATGTGAGGTCTGATTTTCTATTGATAAAAATATCTAAGAATGGTTGTTATTAGTTTCTATTTCAATAGTAAAACGTATGATAGGGCGTATAGAGTTTAAATGTCTAAAAAAATCTATTAGGGATTCCTGACCATGAGGCCAAGAAGCCTTAATAACCGGTTTAAGGTTGCTTTCCATAGATGACGTAGGATCTTTTTTACGTGGACGATATGATCCATATGTAAAAATATCTTGAATATTTTCCTGATATTCATTTGTATTAATGATCATTGTAGCATTTCCTTTATCTGTTTTTAGGATTACGATGTCGGAAAACGTTAGCACTGAGTTTTGTAAAAGTTATTACAGTAGCCTCTGGAAGTTTCTTTGAAAAGTTATTACTTTGCTGTTATCTCATTATGACGTATTCGCGGTACATCTAACGTAGATGTTCCATCTTAAGTGGCGGCTAAATGGCTTAACATCAATTAAAACGAATAGTGCGTGAAGAACGTATAAAGCTCGGGATCGCGCTTGCAACGCTGGCAATCGGAGGTGAATTGTAAATATTTATATCTACGTCCGTTGAAGCCATTAATTTCAAAACGTCGAATCGTTTATATACCTCCTAAACCGTTGGCTTCTGGATAGGAAACATCGGTTACTGCTAAGGTCAGCGGCCAGTAAAAAATACGGACATCATTTATATCTTCCCGCGGGTTACCATGGCAACGCTCGGTTCTCTCGCCCGTGGAGTTTTTGGAAATTAAATTATCTGGAAAATTTTAAACGGAACGAGATTATCGCAAACACGACGATCCAGTTTAACTGTAAACGCACTCGCTAATTAGCAGTTTTTAAGCGATTAGCTTGGTTTTAATTAAACGTAGCGGATTCTCCAACGAGCTCTCTTAACTCGTCGGGAAATCGCGGCGGAAAACTTTAAGGGTAGTAAAAGCGACGTTTGCAGGTCTTAAATAGCGGCGTCTTAACGAACTTAATCCTCATAATGTCATGCGCTTCGTTTATATTCTTTTTTTTTTTGTTTAGCTTAGTCGCTTTAAGCAAAAACCGCTGCAAGTACATAAATATTTGCGTCTTAAAAGAGAAATGAAAAAAGTGAGACTTAATTGTAATCTAAACAACGAGTTTAGGGTAAGGACTCGAATTAGATTTCGGATAAAAGAGTTTACTGTTGTCTGGATTTGTTCTTTATGTATAATTTTATCGATAACGGACTGATTGTAGCCGTTGCTCAATCCCATTTGTGTAATGACATTAAGTTTCTTGTTGTAATTTTCTGTTTAGAGTGGCGTATTAAGAAGTCTATAAATAAAAGGGTGAAATGCAGCCGAGAACAGCTTGATATAATCTTGATATAATACAGCAGTGGACAGTGGATTTAATATGGGCTTTACTTTTGCCAAGCTCTTTATGCTGACGATCTTCTCCGATTTACTCATCATCATTTGTAGAACGTTAGTCTATGCAACAACCACGCATAAGGGACGCTATCAAAAGCTTTCTGGTAGTCACTGGTAGGCACTGTATATATCTTTTTTGTTCTTCATTGCATGCGCCGAGTTTTCCTGCTACTCTTCTGGTCTTCTTGAGATCTTATATAGTGTAGGGAGGTACGTGATAGGTCTGTACATGGATGGGTTTTCAGATGGTTGTTCTGTCTTGGGGAGTAGATACGTGACACCTGGGGTTATGAAGTCTCGTGGAGTCTTTGGATTCTGAAGTATCTCATTGAAGAAGTCGCTGGTCTTTGCCAAATTATATTGAATTTCTTGTACCAGAAGTTCTGGATCTTTGCAGGTCCTGGCGCCTTCCACTAAGAAGCCGTCCGCAGGGCTCCGCGGATGTTGTCCAGAGATATTGTTTGTGGGGCCATTACATTATCATTATTATTATGATTATTATTATCTCTTTCGCACTCCCTCTACAGGAAACATTTACTTATCCCAGGTATCTTAGACACCAGAGGGCTTAAGCTCTGTTGGATCATTTTCCATGTTATCAGGCCCATGATGGCGACCTCTGCTGTTCTGAGCCGTAAACTACCTTCTGCATTTCTCAACTCCAAGTTCTTTAATACCCTTCAACAGGTTCTTTGGTATAACATCAGTTGTTGACGTAATGATTGGAACTGTTATAACGGTGTTCATTTGCCATCGTCTCTGTAGCCGTACTTCTAACTGTCTATATTTGGCAATCTTCTCAGTCAAGTTGTTAGTGTTTGAAATCGCATAGGCTCTGGACTATAATTCTAGTTTGGGACTCTTTCTTTTTGTAAAAGCTGTAGCTTCAATGCTATCTCTTGGTATAGGTTTTTTCCTACAGCATCTCTAACAGCCCGGTCTGTAACTTTAGCTTAAGCTGGTCCTGTTTCGGGAAACATCTGTCCAGAGATTAGCCAGCAGTACGGCACTGCTTTGTCAACATGTTTCTGCGTAATCTCGTTTTGGTGTCTCCCCTGCATGCGTTTTTCTCTCCAATTTTGCAATTTTGTATCTGTATCTATTGGAGTAAAGGCTTCTATTTGCCATATAGCTCTATGAAACTATGAAGTTCTGGATCCCCAGTTTTCCTGTAGAAGTAGCGTCGAAGATTTACAACTTGTTGGTCTCGCTCTTTACCGATATCTACTAATCCTCTACCATACTCGTGACGTAGAAGCGTGGTCCTCTCGGTTGCACTACTATGGATGGCCGTTCCTAAATTTAATTAAAAGTACTCGCACCTTTCATCTACTACATCTACTACATTGGGCATCGTTGACAATTATATCCGGTTTAATCGCATTAATTCTGCGATCCGTTATAACTTGCTGATTGCAGGTGCCACGTTCTGGTTACATCCGTCCCATATTTTTTGGAAATTTTGTAATAGACCAATGTAGCAAACCCCTCGTGTTTCTCAATGTATTCTCTCTTTGCTAAGACCGGGCATGCCGAGATGATATGGTGAATTGTTTCATCCTGTTCTTTGCATATTCCGTATTTTGATTCAATATGTTGCCCGATCACGTTTTTGGGGAAATATTTGTTATTAATAGCTTGATCTTGAGCCGCTATAATTAAACTTTCATTTTCTCCTTTAAATGTAGCACGGGTAAGCCATTTCAGACTATTTTTTTGTGGACGGATTGGTTGTTGAGCACCTGTGATGGATATTGGCCGTGCATTGCTTTTCGCTGCAATTCTTCATTGATTTTATCCGCTAGTAACTTTTTATATAGCCAATTTGGTTCTTGATTTACATCTGTCATTTCTATATCCAGTTCTGCCCTGATCTGCGTTACCGCCTTACTTATAGACGTATGTTTAGGGAATAGGTTGTCACCTGTTTTTATAAGTTCTACACACTTATTAGGTTCTTTCTCGAGATAGTGAGATAGACTGAGTATAGTAGCTTTATAGGCAGCTTCAACTTGTTGCAATCTCTGCCGTCATTTTTCCTAGACACATATAGACGTTGAGTAACAGCTTGTGGGTGATGCAATTTGTCACTCCAAAGCTGTATAAAAGAGCGGGAATTGCCAATTGTCCTGCTGCTGTTCAACTGGCTCTCTTCTATCCTCAAATACCTATAGGTCTCTTCGCCCTCAATCTGTTTATTTTTTTTTTCTTATTTATTATTATTATTATGATTATTATGATATGCCTGAGCCCCATGCGGTTACGCCGCTGCTCGAAGACTCGATTCGACGGTTCTTCGTCTCCCACTTCGAATCCATGGAAACCAGTAAACAACAAAGTCTTTCAAAGTTTTGACGTTTTTTTCAAAAATAAAATTAAATCGTAAGTAATTAACAGAGTCGACCATCGCGCCAGAGACATGGCCCTGTGGTTACGCAAGGGCATAGCAAATCGATTTAGGGCGTTCAAAGACGTTTTGTCGATGAGGAATTTCGCAGAAGGCCCCAGCAGGATGACGAGCCCGCCGCCCCTGGCGATCGGGTGCCCGCCGCCCGATGAAAGCCACCCCTGTAGGGCCAACAAGTTGAAGGGGTTGGTGCTGGGTATGTACAGCAACCCAGACGACATCTACGATCCGGGACGGTTAACCCCTACCGGCGAAAGGTATTGTTTTTACAATCTGTAAGAAATGTGGTGCACAAATAAGGTCTAGAAAGTTCAGTAAAGTTCGGAAGCTTGCCAATTAACTACTAATTGTTTTGTTTAGAGTATCTGTTGTAATCTTAAAAATAGTAGTTTTATTTTGAAATATTTTACAAAATGCGGCGCTGGAACAATGACTCTAAACGCGTTGTTATCGGCTTGCAGGAAAATCTTGCATTTGCGAAATGGTGAACGAAAAGTGGTGAATACGAAAAAATATTTTTTTTATTTTTATGGCGAGGCGAAGATTTGTCCTTGGATGTTTTTCTGCAATCCATGGATGGCTAGACCGATGGAAAAAAAGACATGGCGTACATCAACTGCAAGTTTGTGAGAAAAAATTGGCTGCAGATAATTTTACGAAGCTTGTGAAAGAAAATGTTTCACAACCAGACCAGATCTACGGAACCGGCTTGAAGTATAAAATGTTGTCTTCAAAAACAAAAGCTGGAACACCTGGTTACAAAGCAAAGCAAAGAAATGTTCTTGCATACGCTAATGCTTTTGGGAGACACAAAATACCATGTAACGATAAGTTAGCAAAATCATGAAATCATGAGCCTTCCTGCAGTTTTTTCTCCTGCTGCAACATGTTTCATTCAGCCCATGGACCAGCCGTTTGCTATTGAAGCATATTTCGGAAGAAGTAGATGCGGGTGCCCATCTTATTGGATGTCTAAAAAAAAAAGAGAGATATTGTATATTGGATAACTTCAGCTTGGAATGCAGTGAATGGTAAAACTCTGGAAAAACTGGTTCAATGCAAGAACGTTCCATAGATGCAGAGTCTAAATATGATGAAAGTTTAAAGCAAATTTTCATCAAAATACAGAAACAGAAATTTGTGAATGGTTAAAGACGACCAAGAAAAGTATTTACCAAAATGCCATTGAAATAAATACTGACTAAAACTAAAACTGACACTAAAAATCTCACACTCAGAAGGACTAGCGGCCTAGGAGAAAGCGTTAACTTATCCAGAACAACAAGAAAATGCAAGTGCGGCGGATGTTCTTTTTAACAAAAGCCCAAACGGCCAAAAACGGAAGCAGTACTAAACTAGCGCTGTTAAAAGCTACATAATTTTTAAGACAGTAGGTTAAAAATAAGATACCTATTTTCGATTTTACGTTACATTTTTTTTTTAAATAAAGTCATAAATTCAAGTAGAATATTTCGTAAATGTCCTTCAGTCGATCTAATGATATATGTGTCCACATTATTTCGGATAATCGGGAAGGTACTGCATTGCAATAGTAAACCATATATGTGAACCATTTTAAAAAAATCTAAATAAAAAATAATATATAATAATATATTATAATACAAAAATAAAAAATAACCTATAAAAATAATATTAATAAAACAAATAATAAAAAATAATCTTAAAGCAATAATTAAGCTAGATTGCAACTTTTAATTAAATAAATGAAATTAAAATTGTTTGGATATACGTGATTTTTAATACTATGAACATCGTTGCTTGTATAAAACTTTCGGTTACAGCTGTGATAACACAATAACAATCTATATCTTTTAAACATAACTTTTCATCCCGATATATTTGTAGATATTCGGTTTTAACCCTTGCAACATTACATCCATTTGAATATTGTAATATAACCAATTTGAAATATCTTAAGTTATTTAACTTAATGTTTTTAAAACCAGGAAAAAAAGATCTAAGATTGAATATGTAGGGCATTCTGTAGATAAAAAAAAGATGTTGCTATTGCATTTGCTTAAGATAATAGAGCAACGATCTTCAAACTTTTGTGTTTGAACATTTTTAAATTCTGTGCCAAATTGTACGCGTGATTCATATAGTTCAACAGTTCAAAATCAAAAAAATTGTTATGATTTAAAATTTAAAATAATGCAAATTAATAAAAATATTCTGAGTAAAGTTTTGGAAAGGGTTGTAAACCAATTGGCGTTTTCAATTTCAATTCATTTTACTTCATTTCAATTTTAATTCATAAAAAGTATTTAAAATATCTGGCACGGACATCTATTTTTTGACGCACCATGGATATTTTTTATTTAGGGAAAAAATGCGTTACATGTTTTAATATATCGATTTTATTCTATTTTTTGAGTAAAAAAGCTTAACTTGCATATTGAAAAACATTTTTTCAAATCAAATGTTAACATCGCGAAAATAGTGCCCTAAAATATCGGTCAAACTACATGTTTCAAAATTTTTGAATATTTTGTGCAATTAAAAGAGGCCAAGACACCGAATATTTTTTCAACAATTGGAATCTAAATGGATTTCTGATTAAAGTAGTCTTAGAACCATCTACAAAAACTGTAAAAGTTTCAGATTTGCTGAATACAATTAAAAATCTATCAAGGCAGCCTTGACCATTTTTAAATAATATGTCCGGAAATCTAATCATAAATATTTTTAAACTGAAATATCTCAAAAACGGCTAAATGAAATGTCATTAAACTAAATGTTTTTGAAATCAGGAAAACGAGATCTGCGATTTAAGCTAATAATATATCGGGCATTCCGTTTAAAGAAAATGATATTGCTGTCATTTTGACAGCTTGCGATAGTCCTTTGTTTTTTCTGACATTTGCATAAGATAATAGAGCAACAACCATCAAACTTTTATATTCACACTTTTTTCCTGTCTCTCAAAATTGAATCCTGCAGATGGGTGTCAAAATATATGAATAACACTAAGGGGTCCTTAGGGTTCAGTGAGGGTAAAGGGCCTTCCATTTATCGTGTGAGACATGTTTACGCATGTTTGTACAGGTACAACGCGATGGTGTGCGGCAGACTGTACGAACTGATCCAATATGGCGGCAAACCGCCGGAACAGGGCGAGATCCGGTTGTTTTTCAACCTCGACGAGGAATTCAACTCGGTGGCAGTCGTCGGACTCGGCCGCGAATGTCAAGGCTACGACGTGTTCGAGCAAATGGACGAAGGCAAGGAAGCGATCAGGGTGGCCGCAGCGCAGGGCTCGAAGGTCCTGCAGAAAATGCAAGTGCTGAAGATTTACGTGGAGAGTTTCGGACACGCGGAATCCGCGGCCGAAGGTTCCGCTTTGGGCGTGTGGCTCTACCAGGAGAAGAAGATGAGAAAGAACCAGATCTTTATTCCGCAGCTTGAGTTATACGACGACTGCGACTGGACCGGCTGGCAGATCGGACTGCAGAAGGCGGCCGCGCAGAACCTCGCTCGGCAATTAATGGACACTCCCGCCAATCTGATGACGCCGACATCTTTTGCGCAGAACGCCGTCGAAGTGCTGTGCAAGTCGGGGGTCAATGTCGAGGTCAAGGTACCGTGCGTTCCACTTTCCTCCTCCACTTTTTTAGAGATACCAGGGTAAACAAAAAACGAAATGTTGGTTTAGTAGAGTTTTTTACCAAGTGTCGTGTAAAATAAAACCCTATCATATTTTTTGAAGGGTATATTTCCAATTTGTGCGGATTTTTCAAAAACGAATGGACTAAAATATAAAGTGTGTTACTTCATTGTAATCGGAATAAGATATTCTATATTATACACTAAAAGAATATGATGTTGGCTTATATTGAAAATCGATAGTGTTTTGTTTTATACGTGACTTGGAAAAAAAACTTAGCTCTTAAACCTACGTTTTGTTTTTTTGTTTGCCTTGATATTTCAAAAAATAAAAAAGTTGCAGCTAATTAAAATGTTGTCAAGATAAATTAAACGCAATTCAACTTACAACTTTGCATAATTTTACCTTGCCATATGGTACTACATAACCCCCATGAAGATAAGAAATATTCTTCTGCACCATCAGCTACTCTTATGAAGTAATTTTTAATACCAATTGGCGCACCATTTTTTTCTAAATTCATTATTGAATTCTACGTAAAATTTCATTTCATACACTCTATACTCAATTAATTTTGAAATTAACAATTGAGCAGTCAGTACCAGTAAAGCTCTTAAATTGTCATAATAACTTTTCTGTCAGAAAATTAAAAATTTTCCCAAGATCCCACAGTGACTAAAATCGAGACAAAACTTATGGAACGGAGCATGTCGAAGAAATTATTTTGCAAAGACGAAACATTTCTATCAATTTGCAAAATTTTAAGTCATCTAAATGTTGCGGTTTTTCCTGATTTCAACTATCCTCAGAGGGGGAATAATGTCTGGAGATCTTGCAGGCCAATCTAGTGATCTCGCTCTAAGAATCCACTGTCTGAGAAATACCGTATTCGCAAACTAACCAAAATTGGGCGCCCAACCTGTCATCTGGCATATGAAGAATTTAGTTATTTTGAAGAAATTGCCAATATCGGCTCCAATAAGATTTTAGTCCACAAAACAAGGTCCAATAATTTTGGTATTCAAAATCCCAGCCCAGATATTTATTTCTTGTAGATGTTTTGTATGATTTTCGCCCATTCGTCGGGGTTTATTTGTACTCCAATGGCTACAATTTTGTTCATTTAAATGGTACTGTCGGACAAAACGTCACCAAGCAGTATCCGGCGTTCAGCTCCAGTTGTCCCGTCTCTGTCGCTTCCAGTGTTGTCGCGTTTTGTTCGTACTCTGTACACTACTATTAAGTATTTTTTTTATCAATTATGCTGGTCCCAAGCAAAGCAAGATCGATCAAAATTTCTTTTTGAAATATTTCGCTCCCCCAGATTCAACTTGACTTGCTACCTTTCGTGTACTTTATCCTATCAATCCGCAACAAATTACGTGAACGAAAATCCTTTAAATAACCAACGCGTGACGTTGTAGGTACGAGGCTGGGCGGAAACTCAGAAGATGTTCGCCTTCCTGGCGGTAGCTCAGGGTTCCTGCGAGCCGCCGATCTTCCTCGAACTGAGCTACTACGGAGCGTCACGTGACGAAAGACCGGTCGTGTTGATCGGCAAGGGTATCACGTACAACAGCGGCGGTATATGCCTCAAACCATGCAACAAGCAGAGAGACATGCGCGGCGATATGGGTGGTGCCGCCTGCGTAGTGGCAGCTTGCAGGGCTGTAGCAGGACTGCAGCTACCGATCAACGTGCGAGCTCTGGTGCCTCTGTGCGAGAACATGCCGGGCTGCGCCGCCATGAGACCCGGCGACATTGTCAAAGCCATGAACGGGAAAAGTATCAAGGTATGCATGCATGCATTATAGAGGACAAGTGGACCTTGGCAGAGTAGGCAGCCCTTGGATTCGTCCGCTGATCAGACTCCACATCTGATGGAGACGCATTCTTGATTCTTCCTCTACTTCTTTCTAATTCCCTTAAACTTGAATGTCTGTGTAAGCGGACAGTAGCCCATCCCACCTACCGTCATCCCCACGGTCTTCCTTTTGCAATAGAGGTCGATTCCTGTCTATTTTGGCGGACATTGATGGCACGTCACTGATTTCTCTTAATTTTAAAATTAATATTTTTCGATCCAAAGTACGGTTTTTGCTTTTAAAAAAATAAAAAGCACTTTTTTTTGTTGTTTTGTTTATTTTTAAGTGAAGTGAATGTGATTTTTTAAGGAAAAAACTTCTAATGCCCTTCATAAAAAAAAACATCAAAAGATTGTTCTTTTTACTCTTACAATTTTAATGAAATAACACCCTAACAAGGTACATAATAAAGGCTCTTATTTAAAAAAAAAGAACCCTACCTACTATTAATAATTATTGTTAATTATTGTGTTTGCAAAGAAAATACTCTGCTAGATGGGCTTTCAATTATAGACATCTTCAGTTTTACGTGTATATTCAACATTGCAAAAACAAAGTTAACTTAAAGGGTATGTAGTTGCTTTGGTTAGGTTATAACAACAATAATAAGTTGATGAAAGTGTCCTCCACCATGAAGGATACTCAGGGTTCAGCCCTTTTCCTCATATTGCCGCTCACTCTTTGAAGTATACCTATAGTGTTTTTTAATAAATCGCAGGAAATTCTTATACCATCCTTCAGCCCCTTCTACAAGTTTAAGATGCCCCACGAATACCCAGAAATATTGTGTTGTATAAAAGGCAGCTCTGGGTAATATAATGCTGGAACTCATAGCGGAATTTGTTACGTTTGGGTCGAAGGGGAAGCTGACTTCTGTGGAGCGACTCGTGTGGGGGTCAAAACAGAACTGTTCAAGTGACTCTTTTCCTTTTTTTAACAAAATACCCCAAATTTCGAAACAATTACCCAAAATTTTCTAAATTCAGGACACAGCTTCTTACCGAACGACTCGGATTTCAGCGATATAGAATACAAATTAAAATCATTCCAACGTGTTTATAAATGAATACCAGAAAATAAATATAACAAAAATCTAGGAAGAAGATCATCCACAACCATTAGTTCACCTTTCACATCTCTAGTGCCTTTGTGGCCAAATGGTAAACCAAGCTCTGGAGAGAAACTTAAGAACTTAAACGAAATGGTGCATCTTGTACCGAGCGATGTTCTGCCTTTTTATGGCAGCTTAAAATCATAAATGTATAGTTGAAGATCTAACAAGCCACAAATTGTTTGGTATTTTTGAAAAAAAATTAAATAAAAACCTGTTATACTGTAAAGTAAGATGATACTTGTACTATTGCTACTTTTTTTTGTATTCAGTATTGTATGTTTTGTATATCTCAATATCATTGACTTGACAGAGCTTACTACAATGATAAAAAATAATTATAAAGATTTCGAACATACAGCTCAAAGTTAACGTGCTTAGTATACGTATTTCGTTTTTTTTGAAGTGTTTTAATACAATTACTTAAGTAACTTCAGTTAACTTACTTACGTACAACCGATATACAAAAAGCACAATCTCTAACTATAGAGGAATAGCATTGTTGTCAATATTCTCAAAAATTTTGAAGAAAGCTTTTTATAAAAGGCTGTTGGAATTTTTAGAGAAAGTGACCTTTTAGATAACAACTTGTCTTCTTCTCGATTAGAAAAGAGTTTTTGACGTAATTAACACGTTGCTTCTTAAGTAAAATCATTATGGTAATCGTGGCAAGGCTCTAGGATGGTTATAGAGTTTCCTAAAAGATCGTATGCAAAAAATTGTCTTACAACAAAACGATAAGAAATTTTTTTGTAGTGATGAGATGACTTCCAGTGGCGTTCTGCAGGGAAGTATATTGAGGCCTGCATTATTTACTATCTTTAATAATGACATAGTTTCCTGCGGTGCCGACACCTGACTCTAATGAGGAGGTGGCAGATATTGTTGATTATTGTAACAGAAATATTCTTATATTTAATCATGATAAAATTGAATTGATTTATTTCCCACTAAGAGGCATAGATAAGTGCATCTTAGTTAAGTGTAATAATAAAACCATCGAGGAGAAGCGGGTTGCGAAATTTCTGGGAGATTATTTCGATTCTGGTCTTTCTTGGTGTGATCAGGTGGGCTATATTCTCAAAAAATTATCCACACACTGTTTTATCATTTGGCAACTTAGAAGAAGGGTCGATTATAGTATTTTATTGCTATATTGTTATTCGTATATTCAGTCCTGTTTAAATTATGCTATTAGTGCTTGGGGTAATTGCCCCCGATCGCACGAAATATTTTTGTTCCAAAAAAGGATTATTCGTACACTTTGAACCGAAACATTATGCAGAAAAGTATTTCTATACCTACAAAATTCGGTAACGATGGTAGAATCTAATTATAATGAGTATACATATACGAGTGCAACCAATGAAGATTAAAGTTTCAGACAGGATTATAACCTAGATATTCCCACATATAAATTAAGTTCGGTAGCAAATGGCTCAGTCGTCCTTCCTATAAAACTTTTTAAAAATTACCACCTGGGATGAGACGGATTTCGGGCTGCGGTCAATTTAAGGCTGAGGTGAAACGAATGCTTATCCAGTGCACTTTTTAATTCGTTTTTTAACAATCGTTTGTCCATTTCAACTTGTGTTTGTTATTTATAATTCTATGCTATTTTAAAAATGCTGTGTATCTTTATTGGCTGTGTATTTTGATATTGTCCTATAATTACAATGTATGTCGTATGGAAATAAAGTATATTGTTATTATTATTAAATAATTATAATAGTTCTCTGCATGCATATTAACGATATTATTGTTATAATCATCCAAAGAAGCGGATTTTTTTCACCCCGTATACACCATATTGTCTGTTATTTTAAGATCGAGTCTACGGACACTGCGGGCCGGTTGTGTTTGGCGGACGCCCTAGTCTACGCGCAGAACTTTTGGCCCCGGTTCATCGTCGACGTAGGAACCATGACCAACGACATGAAACACTCGCTGGGCGCGTCTGCAAGCGGAGTGTTTAGCAATTCGGAAGCTCTTTGGGAGTACATGCTGGCCGCCTCCATGCATACCGGTGACCGAGTGTGGCGTTTCCCCCTCTGGGATCATTTCACCAAGCTGGTGGCCCAGCACCACGCGGTCGACACCAAAACCTACGGCAGGGGCGGAGCGCCACGTTGCGGAGAAGCCTGCAAGGTGGCCGCCTTCCTCAACGAGTTCGTTCCTTGCGGCGACTGGTTGCACATGGATACGTACGGTGTGATGTTAACCGACGGAAAGGATTTCCCGTATCTCCGTCAGGGTATGTCGGGTAGACCCACCCGCACTCTTGTCGAGTTTTTGTCCCAGCTGGTGTGCCATCGCGAATAACCTCCAATGTATACGACCAAATTATGATGTCTCTATGCACCTCTCGTTTAATATACTGTCTATAGATTTAATAAAATTTTAGTAACGACAAAGAGAGGTTATTTTGACTGTAGCAGTTAACTGCGGTTTACTGAAAGTCAGAGTCCCAGTTAACCTTGCAGTGTACTTGTAACATAATCTCAACCCCAGATGAAGTTTTTTGAGTGTAGCAGTTGTGGCAACCAGTACTGAACATCAAAGTTCAGTAAAACTTTTATTGTACTTGTAATATAAACTCAACTCCAAATTAAGTTTTTTTGAGTGTAACAGTTGTAACAATCAGTTGTTGAGCATCTATTCTTGTCTAGTCTGCGGTTTACTGAATATCAAAGTTCAGTAAAACTCGTATTGTACAACAACTGTACCAGTTGTTGAGCATCTGGCCTTGCCTAGCGTACGGTTTACTGAACATCAAAGTTCAGTAAAACTTGTATTGTAGTTGAAATATTAACTCAACACCAAATGAAGTTTTTTTTTTAGTATAACAGTTATAGAAACGAGTTGTTCATCATCTGCTCTTGCCTAGTCTATAGATACCTGCGGCTTACTGATCATCAGAATTCCAATTAAACTTGCATTGAAATATAAACTTAACCCCACATGAAGTTTTTTTGAGTTTAACAGTTGCAGCAACCAGTTCTTGAGCATCTGGTCTTGCCTAGCCTGCAGTTTACTGAACATTAGAATTCAGTAAAACTTGTATTGTACTTGTAATATGAACTCAACACCAAATGAAGCTTTTTTGAGTGTAACAGTTGTAGCAACGAGTTGTTGGGCATCTGGTCTTGCCTAGCTTGCGGTTTACTGAACATCAGAGTTCAGTAAAACTTGTATTGTACTTGTAATATAAGCTCAACCCCAAATGAAGTTTTTTTGAGTGTAACAGTTGTAACACCCAGTTGTTGAGCGTCTGGTCTTGCCTAGCCTACAATTTACTGAACATCAAAGTTCAGTAAAACTTGTATTGTAGTTGAAATATTAACTCAACGCCAAATGAAGTTTTTTTTTTTGAGTATAACAGTTATAGAAACGAGTTGTTCATCATCTGCTCTTGCCTAGCTTGCGGTTGACTGAACATCAAAGGTCAGTAAAATTTGTATTGTACTTGAAATATTAACTCAAGGCCAAATGAAGTTTTTTTTGAGTGTAGCAGTTGTAGAAACTAGTTGTTCACCATCTGGTCTTAACTAGCCTATAGGTAACTGTGGTTTGCTGAACGTCAGAGTTCCAGTTATACTTGTATTGTACTTGTAATATAAACTCAACCCCAGAAAGTAAGAAATACACTAATAGTACATTACGTAGCACCCTCTATAATTTACACCAAAATTTTTCTCATCCCAAAAATGAAATTGCAGCTTTTGGACTAAGGTAAGTTTCGTTTAATCGTAATATTTTTAGCTAAATAATCTCCGATTTTACCATGTACCCTAACTTATGCGACCCGCTGCATATTCGCTACCATCGGTAGGTTTAAATAATATTTTACTTTGGCCGTACTGTAACATGAATAATAATAGTAACCTAATTGTATTAATTAAATTTTTACAGGCTGCTTGGTTTTGAATATTTTGTCTATAAGTTATTCCGCGGTGCAGTTTAGTCGGTATCCCTAAAACTCAACAACAAAGCAACATGAGGCTGAACAAAGTGACAAAACAATATATGCGACGGTAGATGCAGGTGAAGGTATTGCATTCTAAAAGAAGAACACATGTTATACTTCGAGGCCTTTATTTTGAAACACAACGGAGTGAACCTTCCTATAGTTCGATCTCCAGGGATCAAACAACTGTAGTAAAATATGAGCAAATTCTGGAAGATCGACAAAATCTCTTTAAAATATGAAATTGCGTCAGAAAACTACAGATTACAGGGTGGTCCGCTTATTAATAAAAACGAAAAATATTTATACAATTTTTTTTATAAAAAATACACCTTTTTCTTGCATGTAACTTTTCGTATCAACTTTAAAAATGTTTTCACAGATTATTTTTGTTTTGTTTCGAATCGTACTAACCGTTGTTAAAATATCGAATTTATAGTATGGAAAACTGCAGATTTGTTTACTAGGCAACCATAGTCCCTGCTACTTCTCCACCGCATCCATTGGTTATTAACGTAGAAAGTAGATGTATAAAGGGAGTTTGGACGAACATAACCCCAAAACACAATGGCCCTCCTCGCCACCACAAAGGTTGTAGAGTGTGCTACGCCCCCAGTGGAGGCCCCATGTGGGATGTTCGTTCTAATTATGTTAATGACACTCCTAAATATTTGTATTGAGATAATGAGTAACTTCGCCTGCCAGGTCACTTAAGTTATGCCTTTACATGATCCAATTACCTCATTTTTTGATTAATTGTGGCTTCATATTATTCAATCGTATATCCATTGAGAGATGTCAATGTCCATTATGAGATAGCAAGTAACTGGAAAGCAATACTCCACCTGCCCTACTGGTTGTACAACAGACACTGTAGCACTCTAGTAACACTGGCAGACTCCATCGTATCGTAAGAATGTCGGATTTTACTTTATATATGCATCAGTATCAGACAATGCATCTTTTAAATTTCTTCCGCAAGACACAACACTCGTATGTCTAGCAAAATAACATCGCAAACCTCGTATTTAACATAAAATTAAAAATATTTCCAAACAGTATGGTTTGTATATGTCCAGAACTTCAAGTAGAATAAAAATATGCAGTGGTACATAAGATAGTGACGCAAGATAAACCGACCAACCTATAAAATTTTAATACAGTCTCTAAAAATATCTGATCTAAGTAATTCTACATTTAGGTCCGTGTTTAGGAAATTTGGGGCGGATATGTCCTACAATAAAATAATTAACAACTTCATAAACACCAGTACTAGATTCCGAGTAAAAAACAATTAACAAGGGAATTTTAAAAGTTTAATGGAGGATTTTGGGTGTGTTACCCAAGAATCGTAAACCTAATAGAATTGCTCAATCCCATAAGACATACGTTCGCCATAATTATCGATAGCACGTGGTCGCATGTGACGTCAGCGAAGTCCTCTAACAGTTTTTGTGTATTCTGTCCATGCATTTGAAGGCGTATTAAACCGTTGTACTTTGTGTTCTTTGAACAATTAAAACAATTTAAACTAGTGAGTAGTGCGTTTATGTTTGTGTTAATTGTATTTCTGTAAAAAAAACTTAGACAAAACAGTGTTTTTAAGCTTTAACAAATACTTTAAAATTGCATATGCTTGAGTGGCGAGAACTGAGAAAAACAGTATTTTTAACCTTAAACAAAGACTTCAAAGTTTTGTGTCCGTGGTGCTTATTAGCGGTGTTTTTACACATAATAATACAGGTAAAGGTAAGAAATACATTTCTCTTACCTTTTCCAGTGGTATAAGTTACATCAAAAAATAGTTAGGTATGCCTGGAAAAAGCAAATTCCCGAAAACGTAGTTTTCATCGCTTTCCCAAAGGGAAAGATCTAGATCCAGGACTATTTTACAGGTATTTTAGGTTCTAAAGTAAATATGGAAGAGCGAGTTTTAGACGTTTAGGACTATTAGGTTTACAATTCTTGTGTGTCACACATAGAAAAAACTAAAGAGAGTAGCAGATCAAATGAAAGATCAAATGGGAAACTTGAAAGAACTACCCCATTTTTAAACAAAATATCCGATTCATTTATTATTATTTGCTTTATACTGCTTGCGAGTAAGTGTTTAGTTTACGTCAAAGTGAGAACTCTAAACTGAGGCTATTGAATAGTTAAATATGTATTCTTTCCTCATATGTCGTTCAAATTTTCTGCCACCTAACGTCAGAAAATTAGCGAGTCCCGTATATTTACTACAGAGTCTACAGCTCATTTTTCTATTTACAAATCTTCTCGATTGCTCTCGGATAGCTTGTTGATAAGTCAAACTTAACGAGGTTTGAACAACTGTTGGATTCTTCAGGGCTTAACTGCTTAACTAGTTGTAATTTTTCAAATTTTCCTTTGAATTCCTTTCAAAATTCTTCATTTTTTTTTGTGAATCATCATACATTCCTAAACCTAATAGTTTTTCCAATATTTTAATTTTGCATATACAACAGAATTTGAATTAGATCCAACAGGGTGTTCAAGATCAACCAAATTTTGACCGTTTTGGATCTTACAAAAACCTACAAATTTAATTAATTTTTGATACTTTGGGATTTATTTTAACTACTCCAATATCCACTCTTGTTTTTGTCTAAAATTATTGCTATAACATTAGTTGACTCTGACAAAACTTTGTCGACAAACTAGCAGCAGAAAAAAAGAAAATATTAGAGAATATTAGGTATATATTATTATTAATAAAAAGAGTTGAAGAATTTCGAATCAAACACAGGAAAAGGCAATGAAGGTAAAGAAAAACGGAAAAGAATAGTAGAAGAAAACTGCACTGAAAATGGCAACATGAAATGTTGCTTTCTGAAAAAAAAAAGAAACTAGTCAGAGAATTTTAACAGAAATGACGGAAACTAAGAAAAAGGAAGCAATCATCAAAGAAGTAGAAAACGGTCAAATTATGATACTAAGCGGAGTAAATAACAAACAGAGAGCTAAGGGAAACTTATGGATGTTTAATTAAACACAATATGACGAGATACCAAATGGCAAGCTATATCTGAAAGAATCTTAAAGACTTCTCTTTTAATACCATATGGACCCAACGAAGGTGATAAGGGCGAAGTTAATGACTCACTTTGGGAGGAGGTGATAGATATGGCAGAAAGTTTTGAAGGTAAAAATTATCATTATGGGAGTGGAATGTAAGCTCCCGGTATCTCAAACTGAACGTTGTATTCGGTTATCGATCTCTACTCTACAATTTCCGTTTGAGATACCGGGACTTTCCAACATTCCATGCATATGCGGCGTGATTGGTGAAGAACCCAGAAGATTTGTTTCTTTGAAAAATTTACTCCTTTTTCTATTAGTGCCCGCTATGGTAGTACCACCGTCTATCAAAGCTCGGTGATCTGGATGGAGCTTTCCATCGAGCCGACACTGGTTTTCAACTGTCGATACGTGTCGCCAGGGTTTTGCTTGCATTGGGTCGATTGATATGGACTGTTGAGTTGTTGGTACGATATGTTGCCGATCGACTGGTTGGTACCAGCATGCAGCTATAGCTATGACTGCGAGGCTGCTAGCGACGCGCTGGTCGATTCCTTAATGATGTGGGGCGCCTTCATTTTCTCTTCTAGCGAGTCGTACATCGGGTACTCGCAGCACAGCAAAAACTTTAGGAAATGGGGAACCTCGACGTATATCGACGGAGGCAGCGGGATCAGCGGGGAAGTGGAAGCCTTGTAGTATCTGTATTCCGATATACTGCAATGGGTTCGTTTTCTAACTGAAAAACTGAACAAAAACTTTTTCCACTCACTCTCTGTATTTTTCGTCCGATGATTTTTCCAGCAGGGGAATACCAGAAAGGAACAGTATGATGAGACTGGTGAATAAGGGCGACATAATGGCTACCCACTCGATCCCTTCCAGAACGTTAAGGGAGATCACGAATATCCCCCACCACAGTACTATTTCACCGAAATAGTTGGGATGCCGCGACAATCTCCATAGACCTGAGGATAAAATACAAACAAATAAAAAATAAATAAATAAGGTCAGTTTACTAAGTAAATAAAGCAAAAATTAGTCGTACAAGGGCGAGATTCTGCTCACCACCTCTGATAAGTGAGAGTGAGAAGAAAATATTATATATATTAATAAAAGAACGTTTAAAAATTTGTAAAAAATAACCTTAATCTCTCATTAATATTGTGAACATCTGATCTGCAGTCAATTTTTCAATTAAAATATTCTAGCGGAGCAAGCGGAGTGCAGGTGTTCAGCATATTGAGGCAATCATTAAGTCCTAAAGTATGGCTAATTCTGTGATTTTCTTGGATACGATAAATTAGCCTAAGAATTCTGCAACTCTTGTATTCGTTTTGCATCTGGGGTTCTCAAGCGTGGGCACAGTAATTAAACTGGGTGAAGTGAACGTGTATTCCAAATAACTTTGGAAAACATGAACCAAGGAGGGAAAGTAAGGGGTAAACCAGGGGGTAACTTTCGCTATACAGACGACACTACGAGAGCTTGGAGGACCTACAAGCTTGGCTTAACTCTATAAACCAAATAGGAAAGCAATATCGACTAGTTATAGTCAGCAGCAAAACGAAATTAATTATTTTTAGCAGAAAACATTCTTATGGACGACTAACTTATGCAGGTGCATCCAAGGAATTTGAAACAAGCCTCAACTTGGCAAATTGACGTGATCGATTGATGACCTACAAGCTGCTCAGCGTTTGGCACAAGAAGAAAAAGAAGTAAATCACTTTAAATATTATTTTTCCAAATTTACTTAAATTATAACGTTTTTTCTTAGACAATTTCGTTCCCACGGAATCTAAAAATTGTTTTCATTATTTTGTAGTAACTGTTCAAGAAAATAAAATTTTAAAAAATCAAAATAAAACAGCACAGATAAATGCAAAATACGAAAACATCAATCTTAAATCTTTTGCGACGGCATTTTCTTCATTTTTTACACGCACACTGTATAAATTCGATACCAGTGTACAAGTATAGTAATCTACCGCGTTATGCCACTATTACGTCCTGATAAAAAAACATGCAGTAAAAGATTATCAGCTGAAATTTTTGTAATAACAAGCTTTATGTCGAAGCAAATGCTGATAAATTTAACGAAATAGTTGCGAACAGAACACATGGTACCATTATCGCCAGTGGGAGCTTGCAGGTATCTTCGAATTTGGATCAATTACTTAAAAACTGAAACCACTTTTGAATGAATAGATAGTGTTCAAGTGAGTAACCATTGAACTTTATCAGTTTTAATAGAAGAGTAGAACGCAATATAATATTTATTATATCACCAAGCAAAACTTTAAATGTCATTCTTGCAATAACTATAGAAGCATTCTTCTCATGTTGACTTCTGCAGAGCTTGACTGCAACTGATTTGCATTCTACTCGGTACCTGCTTATATACTGCTTGATGGAGGCAGAGCTAACGGACGGGCATGAACATTGTCTCGGATGACCGATTCCCAAATTGATTGATTGATTGTTTGGTTATTTGTTTTCTTTGATAGTTGATATTCTTGAAGCATGTGCTGCTGGAATGATGTTATCCCCTGGTGTCTAAAGCGGAATTTTGTCTATATTTTTTTAAGAATATTTATTTGTATTTTTATTACGATTATTCTTAATACGTGGTCAATGATGTTTGAATCTAAGGAAGAACCACAGTGGCAAGTGTGTGGTTGCTTTCGGATTCACTGTCTTTGGAAGATGGTGGTGAAGTGTATTTTGCCATGAAACGCTTAATATTTCTAATGTGGAAATTATTACAGAGAACAGCAGATGTTGACTGTTCCACGCAAGCAATCAACCGTCAATTAAGAGAAGAAGTTTGATTCCATATTCTCAGATGTTAATATATCTGAACCAATGTTGAGAGCTTCAGCTAATTCGCCAAGTTAGCGAATTAGAAACTAGAGATTTTAGATTTGATAGAGAAGCTTTGTAATCCGTGTATAAGAATATCTTCGTTTTCTTCATTATATTTATCTGCTTTTAGAATTACTATGTCAGGATAAGATGCGTTCAGACTTTGGCATATTAGATTTAGGAGGTTTGGTTTATTTGAAATTTTTTGCGGTCTCAAATCGAATTTCATAAACTGTTTGAGATGGGACTTTGCGGGGGATAGACATTTGAAATTATTTCGTCTTTTGAGATAATACGTGGGGTAAGAACGAAGTAGGAACCTTCTCCAAGAACTGGTTTTTCAGCCCCAGAAAGTTAGTGCTATGATAAAGTAGAATGAAAATCAATTTTAGTTAAGCTCTGAAGAACATCGTTCACCTAAACGGATACTTTTAGAGTTTTAGATTCTTCCCGTCCAGAAAATGAACCGTTTGTGCGTGGTCATCGCCGTAGCAATCTTGGTCCAAGCCTCGTTGATTTTCATGTACATCGCCTATAGTAGACCACCGAAGGTGCGTACCAACTGGAACTTTATCTCCTCCCGAAATCGAACACGTACCGGTTCTCCTCCAATACCCCAAGATTACCGAAAACTGCTAAACATCGATGGTTTTAACCTCACCACACCTGTACATCGCCCTTGCGGTGCTTTAAGATTACTGATTCTGGTCGTTTCCGCTCCCAAGCACCAAAATCTACGCCAAACGATCAGGGAAACGTGGGCAAACGTCACTGACAGCGCTGCTCTCTTTTTCATGGTCGGTTCCACAGACTAAGCGACTCAAAACGAATTGAATCGCGAAAATTCCATCCACAAGGATATCGTTCAGGGTAATTTTAAGGATTCCTACCGCAACATGACCTACAAAGCGGTGATGTGTCTCAAATTCATCGTCTATTACTGCCCGAGAGCAGAGCGTGTGCTCAAAATGGACGATGACTCGTTCGTCAACGTGGCCGCTCTCAGGGAGTTTCTAAAAACTCGCCCTGCCTACTCAAACAACGAAATAATGTGCGATGTCATGACCGGTACAGGACCGATAAGAAAGAAAAACAGCAAGTGGTATGTCACTCGAGAAGAGTACCCGGATAACTCATACCCCACTTATTGCTCGGGCTGGGTCGCAATGTTTACGCCCAAGACTGCGTCGCAACTGTACAAAGCTGCGCAGAACGCTTCGTATTTCTGGGTGGATGATGTATTCCTCTACGGCATGGTTGCAGCTAAAGTTGGAGGTTTGAAGCTTACCGATATAAGCCGACGGATTCTACCCACGAAGAAGGTGCTGAAAGGGTACTGCGGGAACTCGACTTTTTTGTTTGCAGGTCCGAATGTGAATGCGGACGTGATAAAGAGTTGTTGGATGCAACTGCGAGCTAAAGATAGAACTGTCAATAGCAGTAGCGGAAAGAGAAATACTCCTGTAGCCAGAAATTGGTGAACATTTTACCATGGTGTGCAGTATTGGCAGAATTCCAGACTATTTACAACTAAACTGAAACGGTTAAGATCTAGAGAAGCCGACATGATGATTGACAAGTTCGACTCAACAACAACCGATGCAGCAGGAATCCAGAAGTTTAGTAAATAGTATTACAGTAGCCTGTGGAAGTTTCTTTGAAAAGTCAGAATTATTTCAAAGGAATTCGAAAGAATTATAAATTTAAGGAGTTTTGGTACATCGGGTTACTGGTTATATAGTAAGGTCTGAAAAAGTCCTTGACTAAAATGGCAAAGAGAAAATCTGATATTACAGATGACTAAAGTGAACACGGTGTTAAAGGTGAGATATACTCGATTTGGTATAACAATTTTTGCCTTATTTCGTGAGAAAAAGTGGTGCGGCTATATTTTTGAAAATTAATATCAATTAATGTTAATAACTTTGGAATGGCTGAACCCATTTCGTCAAACTTGGAAGCATTGAAAAGAGCTCTTCTTCGCCTAGCAACGCCACCCAAAACGGAGGATTTCGATTACTTGTAGCGCCGTTACAGTGCGTCTTGCGTCACCACTACAAATGAAGTCCCTTTTACCAAAAAAATTAAACACAATTCAATTATAACAAAATAAATTATTTGTTTATGATAGCAACACACGGGCCTTACCAAATACAAAATCTTTCTTGCTAGGTTCTCTTATGTATTTTATTATTTTATTAATTTCAGGTTTAGTGTTTAATATTTATAATTAAATCTGTTCTGTAAATCTAGAAAGATTAATGTGATGTATAGAGATAATATGATTAAGATGACTGTAGTCATCTTATCATTCCAGTGAAACGAGCAAAAACATCATCTACGTATCCAAATATAAAAGAATAAATCAAAAAGCAAAAAACTAAATCTGTTGGAAGCTATGGATATTTACAAAATGATATATTCGAATTTATTACTTAATGATTAATTGTCATAAACATTTTTTAGTCTGACTTAATTGTGTTAAGCGAATTTCCATCAAATAAAAGACCCCTAAGTTCAAAAAAATTAATGCAGCGATATCTAACGATAAATAAAAACAAAATAATGTCATTTTTGGGAATATTTTCAGGATGCTCGGGATTAGCAAAATATATATGCATTTACTGAAAAACGCCAACATTTAGAATGTGAAGAATAATGAATACCCATGTCCATATGATATATTACAATTACAAGAAAAAATAACACCACCATGATAATTTTTGCTATTTCCCTTTCCAAAGCCCACTGGGATTTAAAAATTTAGAATTTCTTATAGATAGATGAGCAATATTCAATCATATTGATTGGGTACTCATTATTATTATTATTTTGAAAACAACTTTCGGATTTTAAAAATAAATTTATATATATTTTACTAAATATTAGAAAATTACGATTTAATAATATTAATTGCTGGTATAAAGTAAATATTCCCCAAAACGTAATTTTCATGCATTTTCTTATATTTTAGGTTAGAAATCAATTATCGAAATGCGGTATTTACTAGCCTATTCCCTAGTTTGGTATCCATACTTGCCATAAAAGTGATATCGCTGCATTTAATTTTTTTGCAAAAATAAATCCTAGTTATTGTAATGTCGCACAACGCCCTCTAGCGGCGATGCAACCAATCTAAAATCATATTGCTCAGGGAAACGTTGATGTAATAAAAAAAAGCGCTTTTCAACAACTCCAAGCTTTCGCTTAAGAAATAAAGTCAAAACCACTTAACGCCTTCAGGCCCTTTCTAAAGAAGATGGATGAAGAATGACGGATGAATGGATGAAGAAGAAGAGAGCCAATTTTAAGTTATTTTCAATTATCAAAAAATACACAGGGTGTCTAATATGGAAAATCGAATATGCGGTTGATGATTTATAAAATATGCCTCGTATGAATTATCTTTACAAAGTTTTCCATAAATAAAGAACGATTAATTAAACATGCAAATTTTTGGAAAACATTGAGGATTTTGTGAAAATCGGGAGTCAGATATCGACATCAGCCCCTCTAGATACCTGTTCAATAGATGCCAGCGCCAGTTTGCAAAATAAACAATAATTTACAGGGCGTTTATTAATTTGGGGCCAACACTTACTGGTGTGAAAAAGGTTAATATCAACATATGCTGGGAAAACTTTTAATTTGGAGTCAGATGATGTTAAAATTCAATTAATTCTTTTTTTTTTCTACCCAAACAATTGATATCACTCCAAAGTAGAAATCGCTGGTGAAAATAAACTTTCTTCCCAAACAAGTATGCCAAAGCAATCTCAATGAAGTAAAGAAATTTTTTTTTCATTTTGAATGTTGTAGACCAACTTTGCTATAATATTAATATTTAGAAAAAACAATTTCTTTCCTGAAAAACATTCACTTCAATCCTTGGTAGAAATTGATAAGTAATTATTAACAAGTGTGAATTAAATTTCACAAAAATACCTTAAATGATGATAAAAAGTTGTTAAGTAATTTATATAGTCTGTTTCTTTGGATTAAGGAGTAATCAAACATTAATTAGATATTAGATATAGATTACATATATAATATTACGTTAAGTGTGCATGGAGGTACCTAATCTAGTATGTTTGGTGCCCTAAACTCGGCCCTACATCATTTAACTTCAATTATAACATATTTATAAACGATAAGATTTTACGTGAGAATTTAGTGATACTAAGTGATTGTTTTTTATAATAAAAAATGTTGGCATTCCCTTGTTTTGCTTATATTTTTCGATAAATGAACTTAAAAGGCCATTTAGATGGAATAGTATAAATTTCACGTTTAGAAATAAAATCCGAAATATCAGGTGATTTTTCTATACTATAAACTATGACTTGAGCATAGTTTATGAGATGTCTACTAACCATTGTTTACAATTAACTGCTAGCAAATCAGCAGTAACCATTTCATGCCGAAAGGGTGACAGGAAGAGATTTTTATTGGGTTGCCATGCTGTGGAGATTAATAATAAAAAAAAAAGTTTTGTGATACGGCGAGAAACTTAGGAATGATAATGGACAAGGATTTGATTTAAAATTTATATATCAAAATCGTGAATTTTTAAGCAGAAAACATAGAACAATGCTATGTGAGTCTCTGGTTTTGTCTCAACTAAGTTACGGGAATGCAGTGTACGGCCCTTGTTTAAACTATTTTGATAAGCGCCGAATTCAAAACCTTCAAAACTCATGTCTCAGGTTGATTTTTGGGATCCGAAAGTTCGTCAGACTTAGTCACACACTTCAAAGAATTAATTGGCTAAATATGAAAAATAGAATATTTCCTCATTCTGCCGTTCTATATTAAAAAATACTAAGTAGAAAGTCTCCTCCATACCTTTTCAATAAAATAAGCTATCATATACGATTTAAGGGAACGCGTACTCCGCAAATGCATGCCACTAAAATTTTAATACGCTCCTTTTCATATAATATTGTTTCATGTTTAAATAATCTGCCAAATAAAATCAAAAATTTAAACAACCAAAAACGCTTCAAAACTGACGTTTTTCAGACACTCTCTTTTATCGGGTTAGATGGAACTAATCTTTAGTAGACTGAATCTCGCTTTTTTGCCATAATGTTATGCTGTTACTGTTAGATTGTATATAATTCAAATAAAGACCTTTATTATTATTATTATTATTATTATTATTATTATTATTATTATTATTATTATTATTATTATTATTATTATTATTATTATTATTATTATTATTATTATTATTATTATTATTATTATTGTTATTTTTTTTTATTCTTTAGCTCGACGTTGTCGGTTTTTATTTTTAATAAGAAGGTACGGTCTAAGACAAATACTCTTCCTACTGTAAGAAATTTCTGACCAGGTGGCAAGTCTGTAGTATGCTGGCTTTTTGTAGTTCCATATAGAGATATTGTTGAAGGCCGAGAGACTGAAGTGACTTATGAAGTTTTTTGGGTATTAGGCCTGTAGAAGATAGGACCACTGGTATTGTATGAACCTCCCTTTGGCGCCAAACTCTTTTGATCTCGCTAGCAAGCTCAGAGTATTTTTGTATTTTACGGTTGTAAGTATTTGAAAGATTTCTGTTCCAAGGTACTGCGATATCGATTAAGTAGGTTATCATTTCATTTTTAATAGTGAGTATTATATCTGGCCTATTATGTTGAATTGCTTTGTCTGTTATGATAGATCTGTTCCACATCAGTTTATGGGTATTTGACTCCAGAACAGCTTCAGGTGAATATTTAAAGTAAGGACACTTTTGTTCAAGAAGGTGATGTTTAACTGCAAGGTTTTGGTGAACTATTTTTGCTACATTATCGTGCCTTATTGTGTATTCTGTGGGTGCTAAAGTTGAACAACCGTTTAGTATGTGTTCAATAGTTTCTCCATTTTGGCCACATCTTCTGCACTTATCTTCTGTGTGAGGGGTATTAAGGATATATTTTTTATAATTTCTTGTTGGTAGTACTCTATCCTGAATAGCCAGCAGGTAGCCTTCGGTCTCGGCGTACAAGTCTCCGTTGCTCAGCCATTTGTTTGACGCTTTAATGTCAACATCTTCCTGATGCAGGTCGGAAAAATGCCCGCCGTGGACCGCCTTCTGAGCCCATTGATGCAGGATCTCATCGTTTATTTCAATTTGAAATACTGCGTTTCTATCTGCCATGTTTAATGGAGTGTATTTTTTATCTGCCTCTATTACGGTTTTATGTAGTGCAGCATCTTTATTGTAGAAATACTCTCGTAGCTTGTTCACTTGTTTATTGTGCATATTGAGTAGGTGTATTACTCCTCTTCCCCCTTCACTTCTTGGAAGAGTCCATCTCTCACGGCACGAGTTGGGATGGAGGTGACCGTGTTTTTTATATATTGAACGCATTTTGCTTTCTATTAGCTTGATGCTGGTTTTTGACCATTTTATAATGCCGAAAGAGTAGGTCAGTACTGGAATAACAAAGGTATTAAGTGCCTTGCTCATATTTCGACCATTTATACAACTGTTGGCTATTTTGCGCGTTCTTTCGTACACTATCTTCTCGAGTTTTTCTCGAGTGCCAACATGATCAATATTTCGCGCCTGCTCAATTCCAAGATACTTGTAAAGATCCGTCTCTTGCATGTTTTGAATCTCTGATTCTTGTATGTTCACCACGTTAGAAAACTTTCCCTTGTTTATATGGATAGTTCTACATTTATCCAAACCAAACTTCATTCGGATATCCGTGCTAAACATTTCCACTATCCGGATCATACTTGATAGTTGTTGTTTTGAAGATGCGTATAGTTTGAGATCATCCATATAGAGCAAGTGGCTTAACCTATGGGATTATTATTATTATTATTATTATTATTATTATTATTATTATTATTATTATTATTATTATTATTATTATTATTATTATTATTATATACTACTATATACGATCCTAAACCTACTTAGGATCGGTCGGACTCACCATCATTGCACCATTTGCCTTGGTTGACCGGGTCTTGCCTGAACGAAAACTTTTGCAGGTCGGCATATGTTTCCGCGAGAAATCCCACGATAAACAAACACGTCCCGGTCGAATCCAAAGTGGTCATGGTTTTCGGAGCACTCGGTATAGAGTGGCGAGGGGAGTTGATTATGATGACCGGCAAACTTACTATGTAGACCCAAACGGCCTGAAAAAAAATGCGAAATCCAATGTGTAACAGAAACTTAACGCGCCGTGTAAAATAACACACGGTATACTAATAATGAAGTTAAAAAATAACTTTTTTATCATGTTTTACTTTTACGCTGATGCAAACATTTGTAAACTAGAGTATATCATTACTGGTTTTTGAAAAAAAGTTCAATATTAAAAGCTTATCAAAAAAGTAATTTCTTGCATTTACAATGACGGCAAACCAATTGGAAACCATAGATTCTGATAATTTTAATTCTGGTACCAAGAAATTTGTCGGACATACTCCGAATATCTTTGCCACTTTAACCACAGTCATAAGTTTCAACAATTCTTTTATTCGCTAATTTATTTCTTAAAAACACCTCCTAGGCATGGACTAAGTATTACGCGTCTAGTGGAATGTCGGTACGAGCTATTCCACCCATATCTCTTTTAACGACCATCCACAGTTTTTCTATTGACTCAAGATCTGAGCTACAAGATGGCCCCTATAAATATGATTAACTTGTAGCCAAGCAGTAGCCTCAGCGAAATGCTTGTCGTGCTGGAATTTCCAAAGTACTGATGTTCAGCGCGGTACCATTCCAGGAGAAGCCGCCTCATAGTATGATACTAATGATAATAATAATTAGCAAAAAAATAATACAGGAAGTATCACAAAATTTGGCCTTATGAAAGTTGAAACAATTAACTAGCAATAAATGAAGTAGTTTTCTATGGTTGCAAATAAAATGTAAAGGAATGTACAGTTGTGTATCATCTGCGTAAAAGTGTACGTTGCAAAACACCAAACAAGATGTTATGTAACTAGGTGATAAATAGAAGAGGTCCAAGGATGGAACCCTGATGAACATCAGACCTAATTGGCTCCTTAGATGACACAGTATTCTTAAAATCAACATATTGAAGTCTGCTGGCGAAGGCTTTAAAATAATAAAGAAGTCTTAGCTCGACCTTTATCAGGAGCTCTAATTATCTGTGACATTTAGTAAAACTCTACTGATGTAAAGGAAATTTCACTGTTTGCATAGTGCAGCGCAGATCATATTCTTTATTTGGTGGATGCCCATCAGAACCAAATTATCCCGGATTCGTATGACCACAGCATCTGCTTCCATTGGTGAAGGTTGCAACTAAGATGATGAATAGCAAATTCCAAACTTCTGTATTATGTGTGAGGAGCTGTGTATAATATAGTTGGAAGTTGCCTGTTCTATGTATTGTAATCCAATGTTATTTGAGAATAGTAACCAATGCAACCACGTAGGCATGTGATTATTCTTTATGTTGCTATGTACGGCTAAGAAGCTATGAGGAGTGTTATTTTAATTTGTAATCAGTTAATAGACTTTGTGAAGTAAGATGCTGATTTTTATTTAAGACTAGAATGGGACATCGCTGTTCTAGTTGTTCCAAAGCATTAAACACTTTTTTGGAAGCATTAATAATTTCTGTAATATTTTGATAGGAATAACCTACGAAGATACTTGAAGACCAGAGTTCTTAACCAATGCGTACTCCCAGTACTCACATATAGGACACAAGTATTTACAAAAGATAACATAAACAACATAAATAAAACACAACGAGCGATGGAAAGACTTATGCTAGGTATAAAATAAAAGGATTAATAAAACAAAAAGATAGACTACAGCGAAAATTTAAGCTAAAATAGAAAATTGAAATGAAAGGTGACAAGCGGTGATCATACAATACAGCCCGTCAAAAAATAAAAGAGAAAAAAGAATATTACAATTAGAGGAAGCCTAAGGCTGAATAGATAGAGTGATTGAATAATATGTATTTTATTTTCGTTACAACTATTTTGGGAATCGTATGTATTCGATATTCAATCTCATAATAAGAGTTTCCAATTAGTTTTCCGTCATGTATTTGAGTAATTTTAAAGTCAAAATCAAGTTTAATTTAGAAAAGCATATTATTCCAACACGACTTCAGCGAAAATGGTTGTACTAACGCAAAACTCACCTGAAATGTCCAAAATATCGCGAATCTGATGGTGTTGCTCTTTTTATCTTCGAACTGTTTATCCCTTCCGATTTTAATGATCCTGTACAAGAGATAACCGGACAGCCGGATCCCCCACAAGCAAACGAAGGTGGTTACCATCAGTTGCCTGCTATCGTAGGCCTTCTGAAAATGTCAGGTGTGAAAAAAATGCATCCCGGAGTTAACCCGGCGCTACCTTTTTGCCGCCTTGGCCGAGAAAGAAAGTGAGCAGTGCCAGGATCATGAAGTTGATTCCCCCCCCAAAGTCGGACACCTTGTCCATTTGAAAGATCGCGGCTATTAAGAAAAATATGATCTGCATCGTCACGGTTACAATCGCGCTTATGGCAAAGTGATCTTCGTCGAGAATGTCCACGGCCATCTTGGTTGTTGGTTGTTTTTCGTTAATTTTCGTCCTGAAATCGACAAATGTTAAAAATGTTCAGGAAGGTTACGAAAATAATGTCTGAAGTATGTGAAGTAGTTCCGTTTATTTATTTTTTGAGAATTTTAATTCTTAAAAGACCAAAAAGACCAAAATTAAAATCTCCCATAATAGTGATTTTGAAAAATCCGAATTAAGTACAGGTATTTTTATTTATAAATTATGGGAATAAATTTAGCAGTGGTTCTTTGGTGAAAAATAAACCTTTTTCCGTTATATGCACATTTTTTCTTGAATCTACCTAACTACCTAAACTTTCTTTTATTAACTTACAATAATCGTAATCGTATTGTCATTATTTTAAATGTTTGTGCGAGAACGTAACCTAAAAATATACTCTGTTCAATTTAGTTCCAAAATTTATAAGAAAATATTGATTCGTTATATATACTCAAAATAAAAAATCAATTAAAGTTATGTCGGTGCTGTTGACTGGCCAATCCACAGTTCCCTATCCAACCCCTGGGATATTCCATGTTCATATATAATCAGCGCTGATATATTTAGGGATGAATCTTCTATATATTGTTCTATTTGGTGCTCTAAGAGTTGCAAATACTGATCTCTAGTTAACTTTTGATCTATCAATATCGGACCCAAAATATGGCCATCTATGACAGGACACCATGCATTAATTGATTGTTACCCCTGGGTTTTTATTTCTTGTATTTGTCTAGGACTATTTAAAGGTCAATATCTCGTATTTTGTGTATTACAACCCTTTCTTGTAGTCCAGTCCATAAGATGTTTTTCAAAAAATTATTATTTTCATTACGTCTATTTAAAAAATCCAAACAAAACTGCACCCTCCTTTGATATTGGTCTGCACTTAGTTTTTGAGCCTTAAGCAATTTAAATGCATTATATTTATATTCTTTCAAAACTGAGTGGATTGATCCCCGAGAAATACCTGTCTCTTCATATACTCTAGTAATAGAGGAAACTGGATGCGCTTCATAGAATCCTAATATGTTTGCCTTATTTTCTTCATTTAAAACATTATGATTCCGACATACCTTTTTAGCATTTAATACGTTACCTTATATATGTCAAATATAAATATATTTTTATTTGTCAGTCAGGGCACTCTTTGTAATTATATAATAAATTAAATAAAAGTAATGTAAATGCAATCGGAGTAAGATATTCTATTAAACACATATATAATATACAAGGTGTTTCGTTTAAAAATATATGATGGAGGCCTGTGGATAGTTTTGTGTTTTATACGTTACTTGGTAAAAAAAATTGGCTACTAACCCTACGTTTTTTTTTCTGTTTACCTTGACATCTCTAAAAACATTGAATGCACTATATTTATATGATTTTTATTACCATATTCGTCAAATACTAGGTCAAATCGAAAAAGTTATAGGTCGACAGGCAGGCGGGACGTCCAAGGTCACCACACAGGTTGTACGAGAGATCACTCAGCATCCCTCGCAGATCGATACGGACGCCAGTGGCGTGGGGCAAAGGAAAAAAATCAAGGTTCCGGAAACTGCAATCCAGTGAATGAAGGATTCAATCGCCGATACGACACTGATGGAGTCGCTTGAGTTATTTTTAAGCTTCGCCTTTCACGTGAACTTGGTTTGGATAACTTTCGAAAAGTCGATAACGAAATGTGTAATCGTCGAAACTGTCGGGTGATTCGGACGGTAAGTAAAAAAAAAATACTCACAAAACATGATGGATGGAAGAGACGCTGGCGTCGGGACGCCTCGCACCACGTCGGCGATGAGACTGCGGAGGCGCCGAAACCCGATTCGTGAAACGGGATCGGGAAAACGGCCGGGAACCGAACTGGGACGCTGCCGCGCATATATTTTATAGTTCATTCATAGATTAAACTAAAGGTGGGGTCACACTGGCGAATGGGCTTGATGTCGCCGCAACGTCGCTCAGTTTCAAAAAAATCGTTGAAGCCGAACTTTTTGAAAGTATCAATGCTCGTATAAGTATTTTTCTACTCCCTCCGGTAAAATATTAAATTATACATCGATCTAGAGACACGTGACTTTCTGTTAAAAAGAGACGACAATAACAGAACCGATCCGAACGATAAACGGGTAAGTTTAATGGCAACTGGTAAATATGTTGTTTGAATAGTACGAAATTTAGTAAGATTTTACCGCACGGCTTGAATTTTGACGTTTGTCAATTCTGATGGTCATGTCAGTGAATGTTTCGTATTGTTTTATAAAAATATACCCAAAGACTAACCATCGAAACCACGGGTTTCGTTTTTCTAAAACATTTTTTTTTTATTTCCAAACGGCGCTACGAGCTTTACATTAAGTCGTTACAAGAACGTCGCGTCTCACATGCTAAGAATGCTGAAGCCAGCATTTCTTGTGGTCATCAGCATATTCTATAATATCATATTCTATTATATATATATATATATATATATATATATATATATATATATATATATATATATATATATATATATATATGGTGTAGGTAGGTCACATTGGGAGCAGTGATTTTCTTAATCATGCTTTTTTTTCTATCAAACAGGGTGCACTAGAAGTTTGAAAAAATATAGTCGGAAGTTGGTACAAATTTTTGATTTTAGCAGAATTTTGAACGACTTTTGCAAAAAAATGCATTGATTGTGCGAAAATTATACAGGATGCCCGAAATTTGCCAATTTGGTTTTTGTTTTTTCCTTATATTATTCGCAACGTTCTTCTAGTTTAACCATTGTTATTTTGGACACACTGTATGGTATAACATAAAAAATAAATAAATTGAGTTAGCAAAGCAAAAAGAAAAACCAAATTTCAAAGAGAAGTAATAATTCAAGAGTATAGTAATAACGTTAATCATGCCAGAATCGTGTCGTTTTGTCGCCCACCAAGCAATAACAAAAATTATCGTAACACAATGTTATTAAAAGTAAATAGGTTTCCTCCAATCTTTTAATATCAAGTTATTGGAAGACTTTGCATTAAATTAGGGTGGATAAGGATACGGATAACAACAACTTAGCACTAGCAAGAGGAAACTTTTCTGAAAAAAAGGCAATCAACTACCACCCAACATAAAAGACATCGGGGATTGATAACAACAACCTTTGCGACCGTGAACCTAACATGGATGTTGCTGAACTCTGGTAGAAAGGTGATAACCTTGAAGAGATTATGTAAATTTCTTCGGTGTGTTCGCCGCAGCACAAAATAATACAGAGAAACAGTCCGACAGTGTGGTTCTTCATAATCTTCAGCAGCATCGAATTATGTTTCAATCAACAGCTAGCTGTTTGGTTTTCGTAACTTTGGTAGCTGGCGTTTTAAGCGATGCATCAACATCTACGAAGGATCTAAAATACGAACTCAACAATGGCAATTTCATGCCCGCCATTGGACGTAAGTAATCAGACATTACGTTAAAATTAAACCTGTGGCAGGAGGTAAAATTAATACTCGCTGATACGTGACGTTTTATTGAACGCTCAATAAGAGTGAATGATTAAAATGTGTAGTTGTATGCAAATCTCAGTGTAGAAAACATAAAATTAATTATAACATTCACCAATTTGCTTCTACGCCGACATTTCTACGTTCTCCATTTTCAGGGCGCGAAGAAATTAGAAATGTTTGTTCGAGTAACGGAAAAAGCAGAAAATTAATGGAGATTTAGGAGTGTCGACCAACTTGTATTATGGCACTAGCATTTTGTAAGGTTAATGCCATAACCCTTGTAATAGTAATTCGCTGTTTTACAGATTATGCGATGTTCTTGAATGAAAAAAAATTAATTAGAAAAACAACAGCAAACCAAATATTTTTTGCCGCAATACCAGTTTGTGTCGTGATGAAACATTGAAAATTTAGTAGTATCACAACAAAAATGAAGAAAGGCAGCAAATAATTTTTATAAGTTAATTGTTAAGACATTTGGGAGTTTTTTATATTTCGAATTACTATTAATTTTTAAAAAGATATGAATTTAAATATTCAAGTGCAGTGGAATATTTTATATTTGACAGAGCATCAGAGAGATTTTTTTAAATATTTGTTGTATTAAAGCAGGTATTTATTGGCAATGACCTACATTCAAAAATATAGAAAAAAATGTTGGCCAATATTACAATTACTAAAATATGTTTGTTGTTGCTCCGAGGCTACGGAACTTAGGATATTGATAGGAGTCTTCCTCACTATACAAAATTATTGGTATCGATCTTAAGTGTTAAACCAAATTCAAGCTTAAAAGTTTATATTAAAAGTTTACTGTCACAGATTTCTTAACTAATAACTTCAAGATCTTTTAATTTAATAATAATGTAATTTGTTGAAGTTTGTTACGATTTTTTAAAATTTTCCGATTTCCCAGCTTTGGCTTATTGACAAATCTTTTCTTACGTGTTAGTTGGAACATCTCGAATTACCGGAGCCGATAGAGTCAAGGACGTTCTGGACAAAGCTCTCGCAGCGGGATACAGGCAATTCGGTAAACGCTTGGCCCAACCATCACGTAACTTCTTTTAACCCCTTTTTTCACAGACACCGCAGCAGCTTACAACAACGAGGAGGATATCGGGAACGCCCTGGAAGAACTGCTGCCCAAATACAATCTCACCAGGAACGACATATTTATAACGACCAAATTTTGTAAGTGATTATAAATAAATAGGGTTGAGTCGTTTTGGGTTAAAGTTCTTCCATAATATCAACATTCTTCATTTCTTTTTGGTTTATTCGACGTTACAATTATAATTATAAACTCCAAAGTCGAAAATAATCAAATAAATTAATTCGTGTTGCTGTTTCATTTTAAATTACTATATACGCAGAAAATTACGATAACATTCTTGATGAAGATATATACTAACAAAACTAACCAAAACCGACTTCCACATGATATATATATATATATATATATATATATATATATATATATATATATATATATATATATATATATATATATATATATATATATATATATATATATGTTAATATATAATTACCTTTCTGATAAATTTATTCTTTTGTGAAGGAAATTTTCCTTCAAACCCAAAAATTCGAAAGATTATTATTCCATTGCATTAAATAGGTAGTAACAATGATTATAATTACAGGGTCTGTATTAGGGCCGGTACCTCTTGGATATTGACGGTTTAGAGACCTATAACGGGCTGATTGATTGAGTAACAATAATAATGTATATCTTAATTCACTAAAAACATATTTTTCTACGCCCTTCTGTGAAATGCTCAATTATATACCGATCCAGTGTGTCATTTGACCACGTCAGTTTTGTTTCCCACAGATCCGAGCCATTTCGGATATTACCGCACGGGTTCGGGAGTAATCGGATGTTTCCGGAGATTTTACCGCATGTCTTGAATTTTGACGTTTGTCAATTTTGACAGTCATGTCAGTGGGTCAGACGGTCGTAGAAAAAACGTCACTCGTTTATTCAACACTCATTCAGCTGCGCTCCGCTCGTGCCAAATAAACTCATGACTCAAATGGTTTTTCCACGCTGGTTGCATAATATAATACTTTTTAGCAAATCAAATTAATTACAAACTGCCATAATGTAACTGATAATCTTAAAAGTAACACATTTATAAACGACTTGACTAGTGCACCTAGGTGCCCTAGAGCACCTGCATGTGCAGTATAAACAAATTTTGTAAATATTTCTACTGCAACAGTAAAGCAAGAAGCAGTAAGTAACATTTATTTTTTTTCTACAGAAAGAAAGAGAACTGTTCTAAATTCTCAACGACATAGACTAATTTCTCTGTTAAAATTATTTTTAATTTTGATATTCCTTAATTGCGCAGAAAGGCAATTATAAAATTTTGGTGCTAAATATATTTTTGCTATAATGACAATGATTACTAGGTACTTGGTAGATCGAACTTTGTTTATAGGGTTTTGGAAGCAATCTATTTCTATGGTGTTAAAGACAGTTAATTTGTTTTATCTACATTAAGAGATAACTGAAGGATGTCAAATTTTTTGAAGAGACTTGGCTATTATATGCCTAGCTTCCCCTTAAATTAAAACACAGTGTTATCTGCAACAACAACATATCCAGAAGCCATGTAGGGACCTTTCGCTTCGCACAAAGTTTCTTTGAATCTTGCTAGAAAAAAACATAAATTTTAAGACACATTACTCTTCTTTGGAATCGGAATATTAAGTATGGTCGACTTATTTGACGAATGTTTTCTTAGTTCATAAGATGTATAGCAAACCTGTACACCATATCTAAAAAAATGTGGAATATCAATTTTCACTCACTAAAAACTAGAAGTGCAAGTGATGTGCCTTTTTGAGAAATAAGCCTCTTTTTTCCTTGCTTGTTTATAGATTGCTGCGGTCTGAGTAGATTTTTTGACAATTTCAAACACAAACATTGTTGATTTGGAAAATAAATGGCCCTTATTAGACCACTAATTTTGATTTTGAATTTTGTCTCTGATGTCTGATATGCACAATGAACAAGAACGTTTGGTGGCCCAGTGGAAAGCTAATCACTTTCGCTTTACCTATAAAGAGTGTGTTCTGCATTTGGATTCACTTCTAACCTCTCGGCATCAAGTACAAATGCGTGGTTCATTTTAGCTCCGTGGAAGCAAGGGGAAAACGTGACCGATGCCTTACACGACTCTCTTAGAAAATTAAAAACTCCCTACATCGACCTCTATCTCATCCACTGGCCGGGGGCAGGCGCGGGGGTAAACAAAGCGACCGCGAACTTTACAGCTTTGAGGGCCGAGAGGTGGCAGAAAATGGTGAAGGCGTTGAAAGACGGTCTTGTGAAAAACATCGGCGTTTCAAACTACGCCGTGAAACATTTGAGGGAACTGCTGGCCAACGATTTCGGCACCAAACCCGCCGTCAATCAGGTATAGTTTGGTTCAAATTATTCCTCATTAAACCCTAACGTTTACGTCACAACGAAGCTACTAACGCGCGTGTTGCAGGGTCTTTGGAATCCTCTTTACCACCCTGCCGAACTTCTGGAACTCTGCAGGAAAGAGGGAATTTTGCTGGAGGCGTATTCGTCCCTCGGAGGAACTCACGACGATAACTTGTTGCAAAACGAAGATGTTAAAAAAGTTGCGGAAAAGCTGGGAAAAACACCTGCGCAGGTACCGTGCATGACAAATACGTGCTATGCCAAAAAGGATACGCATATATCGGGCTGAAAATTAATATTTTAAGATTTAACAGAAATCACTTATATGCGGGATGTTTATTTTCTTCTTCCAACGAAAACAAATTTGTCCAAAAAAATAGTCGTTCTCAAACAACCACCTTAGTACCATCTAAATAAAAAAGCAATTTCAATAGCAGTAAATACATGGGCAGTAAAATTACATTTTTTTAGGATAGGTTTATTTTATATATAAAAAAATAAAAATTGGTGGTCCAATGACGGTAAAATTGATGTGCCGCAGACGGTATTGATGTTTACGATACTCACGAACCTGCTTTTTCCGCACTTTTCTTTCTAAACAGCGAGTTACACACACTTACCTCGTTATTCCAAACCATTAAACGAGATCTTGAAAAAATAAATTGTCCTGTCAGCCTGTCTGGTTCTTAAATGCAGCAACGTCATCGGCTAAAAACTAGATTTTAAATCTCGCTCATGCGCATGTTCCTGTATTATCGGCATAGTAGCTAAATGGTTTGGATGGACACCTAACCTACCAATTTATGTTCTCCGTAGAAACTGTTCGTTACCATCGAGACAAAAATCGTTGAAAATATATTTTTCGTGGTCGGTCAGCCACCCATCATCGACCAACATAGGACAATTATTATCTTAAGACACTAGAGATTGTTGAAATTATGTTATGTGCAAAAACAGTAAAAAACGGTTCGTTAGAACAAACACGAAATAGTCTAAACAATAGCTTTCATGTTCAGTGAGTGATATTATTTAATAGAATAGTTTAACTAGAAAATTCTATTTTTCAATTTCTTATCTAAGGGTATTGTTAATATTATGTTTGAAGCATAAACACCTTGTTCTATTTAGTTGATATCACGGAGTAAAAAAATTTAAATTAATTAGTTCCCATGGATCCTACACGTTATAATGGTTCACGCGTAAATGTAAATGCTTGTTCTTTTCTAACAGCGGTTTTTTTAGGTTCTCTTGAGATGGGCTGTGCAGCAGAATATAGCGATCATTCCAAAAGCCACTTCCAAGCAACACCTCGAAGATAACCTCAATCTCGACTTCACCCTCCCCGACGAAGACGTGTCGGTTTTAAATGGTTTCCCGCAAAAGAGAAACCCTTTTTCGGAAGATACGCCATGAATATGTTACTAACGAACGCGAATTAAAATCGAGACCCAACAAGTTCGTTTTATTTGATACGAAATTAATTTAGAATTTATTAAGTAGACCTTTTCTATGGCAAAAATATATTTCCGTATGTAATTTAAACCGGAAATAATTTGCCGTATAATCCTTGTAAGTTGACCAAACAGAAGGCATAACCTAACCTTACTTTTCGAAAGCGAAGGGTGACAATTCAAATCGGAAACCAAAAGCGACTTTTATAGCACTGCCCTCTCAATTTTCAAGGCTAGGTGAAAGGACATACATTAATAATAATCTAAAAAAAAAACTGCTCATTTACAATAGATGCAACTGATGAATTACGGAAATTTATATACGTATTTACATATTATTTTTCTTTAATTTTAGGGATGGACAAGTCTATTTGTGCTTTAATAAAAGTTCAAAAGGAATATTCATACAATTCGTTGCTTTAAATGTTAGTCTCGCTTTTTGGCAATTTTCTTATGAATATTAAAGGGACATGGTGTGGAAAAAATCAATGATTAACAAATATATATTTTATTATCAAATTCAATCTTTTTATTTTCGGAAATAACTTACTTCCAAAGCAATTACAAAAAAAAAACAACTCGAAAACAAAGGGTCCAGTCTATATACAAGTGTTTTTGGTTCTGGGAGAATAAATAAAATCGTTGGACGGGCCCGTCCCTGTTACTGCTGCTCCGCACTTTCGACAATCAACATAATCGATTGTTGTTGTCCCGCGTCCGACGCCACGCCCCTCACGCATTCCACTTGATGGGACGCCCAGTCTTTTCTCTGACAAAACGTCGAACAGTAAGGCGTCCTTCGGCACAGCGAGCATTCGGCCAACGCTTCCCTGTTACAATTTGCACACTGAAAGGAATTAATAAACTGAAGACAAAAGAAACAAAAATCAAAAAATAAAAACTGAAGAAAAAGGGAAGTAAGAAAGAAATGATGACTATTAAAACACCACTAACCTTTTTGTGATTGTCATTATCAATGGCAGGTTGTAGGGTCGAGTCTGCAGCGCCTTCGGGCTGCAAAGCTGCGACCTGCGCCTCAACTCTTGCCGCCAATATGGCGGATTCTTTTTCCCTCTGGAATTTGTCCTGCTGCCTACCCATGGTCTCCTTCAACTCGTCGATACTCCTTTCATTGCACAAAATCAATAAATTTACACAAATCTTATGAAAATAAAAAAGACTAATGCACATTCCACGCATGCATATTATTTCATACTACATATTTGCCAGACTGATCTCAAAGTTGCTTAACTCAACTTGATTTATGGAATTTCATTGGACAATCCGAACATTGAGCAAATTGTGGCTGTTGCACTTGGTGGATGGTTTTCACCGTTGGCACAAAATGTTTTATATGTTAGCTCGATGTCAATCAATCTGTGATGTTTGTTCAAATTCGTCTGTCTTTTATCTCTATATTTATATCAATACCTGTGGGAAGTTATAATAGTGAATAGCATTTCGTTAAAAATTATTAAAGTCACGATTATTAGGTTTATAAAATTCATCACCAGTATTTTTGAATTTTTATTCAATTTTTTTTTAGATCCCTCTGAATGTATTATAATGCAATCAACGTCAAGAGCTTTGTCAATCCTGTACTTTTTTCTCCTGCCTCAATCGCAGATAAAACATCCTCAACGACATGACATGAAACTTCTTTTGGATTTCTACAAGGAACTTCGTCCAAAAGTTGAACGTTTTGCAATAACGATTTCTTAAAAATTATGGGGATCGACTTCCACAAAAATAATGAGGCCATTGCCGCGCTTGGAACATTCCTAAAGTTTGTAGATAAACAAAGTCAAACTGGAAGGGGTAGAAAATGCTTTGAATATCAAGGCCGCAAATTCTATTGTCTAATTAAACTCTCAACAAAGAAATGAAAAAAAGAAAATACACGAACAATGTCAGTTAATGTTAAAACTACCAAAAAGAACAATTTTGGGAAAAACGGAATCCCATGACTAAAAGAAGTGTGATTGATCAATTAAGAAAACAGCTCTGTTCGAATTGTATTCTAAAAGGCTGCGATAAATACTTTTCTGTCAATTTTTAAATTCACATTTATTTATACTAGCACTAGATTCGCAGATTTTTCTGCAGGTTTAAAAAATTTTATTAACTTTTTTCAGATTTATATGTCTTTCTTTTTAAAATATATATTTGGTATGATATAACATATCTAAATGAATATAATTTATTTCTGGAAATAAAATTGTTTTCTATCCACCTGAATATACCACTTCTATTTTCCACATAGTCTTGGTCACTCAGATTCCTGGAGATACTGATGACAAATAAATTTGAATCGTACTGGATCTCAAAAAAACTCTGACCAAATGAATATCAATAATCGCACAGGAACAAAACAAACGCGAATCTCAGATGACAGAATAGCCAATATCAATTAAAAACGAGAGTAACTCCACCCATTAATGTACTCATTAGTTTCACAAGTTAATGAGAAAATAGTAAATACAAAAATTATAAAGAAAATTATTTTAGTAGTATACACGCGACTAATAAATCATATATTTTTTTAAATGGAACACCCAATTTTAAAATATTGTTTTGAATTCCTTTTAAAAATCTTCAACTTTTTTATTAACTAGCCTGTATCTGTAAGCAAAAAAATAATGCACCAAAACTGTAAGAAACCGTTTCTGACTGCAGGTGCAATGAACTTAAACAAATAAAACAGAAACGCCATTTTGTTCAATAAGATTAATTAAAAAGCAAAAATATTATGATCGTCTATTTAAGTTGTCAATAGACATTTTCAGCAAGTTTTTTTTCTCAAAAGGGCTTGATTTTTCAATTGTGTCTGATAGACAACAAAAATCCAGAACACTTAACTGTTGGTAAGAGAAATTACCTTCGACAATCGACGGCTAGTCTGTTAATCTGGCAGACGATATCTTCCAATCGCCTCAGCTGAGTCATGGGATCCACGGGCGTGAGCGGATCAATCAGTTGGTAGTCGTTGGAATCCAAACCTTCGGCCAGATTTTGCCACGCCTCCTCCTTGCTCTGCTGGTCGCTATCTTCCTCGTTCGAGGCGTTGCGTTTGCCCCCGTCGCTCTCTTTCCGCCGCTTCCGCTTGTACGGGGTAAAGAGACGAACCGGTCCGGTGGCGGTTTCGTCGTCGCAACACGCGGCGCAGGTACAACTCGTAGCATGCGGAAGAATAATTCCTGCACACGAAAGCAAAAAGACATAACAACCCCGGCATTATTTTGAGGTTACCGTTCCCACCTTCCTCGATTAAAGTCTGCAGACTTCGTCCGCCGAATCGGATGCTCCTTTTCCAATCTTTGCTGGAGGCCCGGCCGCATAACGCCTCGAATTCGCTCGGGGTGTACCACGAACTTCCCAATTTGATGCAACGGCCTCGTCCGCCCGAACCGAACCTGGCTTTGTGTAGTTCCGCGGACGTGTTTTTGCATCTTACGGGCAGAACGGGTAAACTGGCGGCTTCTCCCCAAGAACCTACCGTCGGGGTTACAGTCACGGGAGTCGAAACCGTACCGTTTCCCGAAACATCTTCCTGTATAACGATGGTTTTCAGTTCCGTGCCGGAACCGTCGGTCGCCAAATAACCGTTATTGTCCACGCACAGCATAGGTTTGAAATGTTGCATCTGCTCTTGAGTGATAACATTAAAAGTGCTCGTAATGAGACTCCCGACAGGCAGAGAAACCGGGACCCCGGCATGCCTAACGGAAACGGTAGAGACCCGCGCACTCTTCGTATCGATAGCGTCGCCATTATCGCCGCCATCGTGCTCGCTCGCGAGCTGTTCGGCTTCGGAGATGTCCGGCAGGACGACACTTTCCGAGTTTGAGTTCTCCATGAGGAAAAACGAGTCGACGAGAAATTTACCTTTCGTGCGGGCCGGATTCGATTTTCCAACCGGAAACGGCCGAATTTTTCGCCCGCGAACACACTCAATTTGAGATGACGAGGCTCGTTGCCGTACACATGGCCGCAACAATCGCCCGATAATGCAGCTACGTAGACACTCTGGCGCATGCGTCGCGCCAATTCGAATATGTTTTCGGTCGGAAACCCGTAATTGTTGTTTCATTAAACGTGCGTTGGTTTAAGAATCTCGCAACTCGAGAAAATATTCGTTTCGAGCTCTAAACTTTCAAGCGAAGTCGATGTTGAGGATTGTAACAGACTTTCGAATGACAGATTTTACAGTGTTATCTAGCGCGCTTACTGTCGTATTTAAAAGTAATAATAATACCTGAGGGGCTTCGATTCCGCTCTCACTTTTCAACTTATCCTTCGCTGGATGATAAGAGGGTAGCAAGCAACGCTTAAAGACTACTTTAAGCCGAAATAACGCTTGAGTTTTCCCGGTCCCAACCGCTATCACAATAAAGCGCAAAGTAGGCAACCAACCAAGCAAGTAAAACGCTGATTTAAATATAGCAACTGACAAAAATGGACCAAAATTATAATTATTGTTATAATTGATAATTGATTGGGCTCGATAGGCTCGCCAATGACGATGCCAATCACCTTCTCTGCAGATTATTGCCGAGAAATATCTCGCGCGACTTTTGTATCGGGTACGAAGTACATCGCGACAATGTAAGCAACGCATAATTTAATTTAACAATAGAATGCATCAAGTCGCAATTACGTAAAAGTTTGTGTGATTTCCCAACAGCTCATAAAAAACGTCATCAACGGATCCTGGGACAGGATAGAGCGATATTATTTCTCGAATAGTTCTAACATTGCATCAGGTTCGGAAATTGACCGACCCACTGTCAAGGATAAAGCAATCTCGAGCACAAGAGATCCTTTTTCGTAATCCCAGACCCGATTAATGACAAATCGTTACCATGCACCGGCTCTTAAATGCAGTTCCAAAACGCGATACCTTAATTGACGTTAAATTGTAGTTAAATTAATTCCGGAGAATATAATTAACCGCGAAACCATCGGCCGTGCGATGTTTCATCGCGGTATGCGGTGGCATTCAGATGGTTTAATTGCAAAGAGATCGATTTCCTCGGTTAAAGGATCATTAAAAAGTAAAAAACTTATCCCGTATAGAAGTGACGTGCAACAATACGTCCAAGAACCGCAGGAAACAAAAAAAATCGCAACACAAAAACAATTCCCAAATGTTGTCACGAGTACTTTGCCAAGGGTAAAAATGGCTACGGTCGAACCCAAGATGCGGTTTTGACTACTTGGTGGTGCTTTCAAGGACAACTAAAATCGTCAGCGTCATCGCATTGATGCCTTGTGGCATTTTATCAAACTTTAAACCATGGACCATAGATAGATCGACAGATTCACGAAAAAAAAGGGCGCGGAACATAGTTAGTTACATGTAAAAGTTGCTTCCAGTAAAATGATGTTTAATTTTTTTGTATTATTCCAATTGTCACTCAATAACATACAGGGTGGTAATATTTTTAAATGGAACACCTTAGATTTTATTACATTTTTAAATACCCCTGTAAAAGACGAATCCAAGGATAAATATCTATATATCGGTTTCTAATGCATCATTATTAGCAAACATCTTCGGGATTCAGGTTATGTTACGTTGCATATGTCCCATAAACGACAGCTCAAAGCAAAGATAACACAAAACACAGGCCCATATCCAGTTCTAGATTGAACTGATTTCGTAACTAAACTGCCGTTATTGCCGTGGAAACAAGCACTTCAGAGAGTGTGCCGTGGATGGCAACCGGTATTTATAAACGTTTCTTCTGTCAGTGATTTTTAATACCTTCCCAATTTTGAAAGTTTGATTTTCAACACATTTAGTGAAGTCTTTGTTTTGTTGTATGTTATCGGATACCCCGGCCAAAAACGAAAACAGGATATTCTTTAGTTTCTTCTTTACATTGTATACCAAGTTGAATAAGACTGCTTGGATCATTCGCCCAGTATATTCATTCATGCATTATTTTCAAGGTAAAAAATGTCAAACTTAAAAAAGTTATTTTTTTCTACTCCTGTGTGTAAAATGCCAATTACACACCGATCTAGCGTGCAGGAAGCGTCACTTTACCACCACCACGGATCCGAGCCACCTTGGACATTTCCGGGATTTTACCGCATGGGTTTGGGAGCAATCGGATGATTTCTAACGGTCGTAGAAAAAGTATAGTATGCAACACGTTCGGTAAACTTTTTAAGTCACCCGTTTATTAAACAATCGCTCCGCTCGTGTCAAATAAACTCATAATATAATATACCATTTTATATGTTAATAATTGTCTCTCCGATTTTGATGATATTTAATGCTGTTATTTACGTCAGTGAGGAGCAAATTTATCACCTAATGGATTAACAGTATTATTTTTTCAAGAAAAAACGTAAACCAATGCTTTCAATTTTGCTGCGGACTAAACAACTAAAAGTTTTTTTAAGTTTCGTTCTCTCCTGGTAACTTTTGCGTTATAACGTTATAAGCGCTAAAGTCATTTTTGGCAAAACGAAATGCGAAAATAAGTTTGTTAATAAAGCTGTTTTATTGGTTTAAACGCTCCGCACAACTAAGCGTGTCCAAATCTTTTATCATAAGTTATATCCTAACCAAAATCGAAGAAAAAATGATTTAACCACTCTGTAGATTTTCGACCCGCGAATCTCATTAAACGGACGAAGACGACTCTTATTTGTTTTGGCACTTTTACGTATTCCCTGTGATAACGGCCGACTAAATCGAAAAAGACAAAGAGAGAGAAAGAAGCGGACCGTAGCGGAGCAAAGATACGCGACAGAACGAAACAGATCTCGGATAAAAGGAGGAGCCATTCAATGGCGTGACGTAGACGATAGAAAATAATATAAATTAAGAGAATCTGTTGTTGTACGATAGCCGTTCGAAAGTTTATCGGGTAGTTACAACAGATTCTGTTAGTTTGTTTGGTGATTGCGTGTAGAATCGACGACATAATGAGAGAGACGGCGATGATCAACGGCAACGACAAACACGATGGCGAAAACGGCAAACAACTAAGTCTCCCGAAAGGTAAGCGTCCTAAACACTATGTCACTTCGCATAGCATAACCAAAACCCGCCACTGTTACCCATAGATAATTTTTACACCACGTTTTTGGTAATTACGTTCCTAAGCACAGAATATTATTTAATAATTTCAAAATTAAATATATAACATTAAAGACAAGCATATAGATGAGTTTTTTTACAACAGAAACCAAAATGGCGTCTCATCTGCGATATTTGAGAGTCTTGGCGTTTAAGTTAGCTACACAGAAAAAGTTTTATACATTTAATGTATGATCCGATTGAGTGACGTAGCCAAGTGAAAAAGAGTTTTTAATTACTTCTTTACTAATTATGAATACATAAAATACAAAAAATATTGTACTGATACCTGAATCACAAAGCGAGACGGGTAGTTGCCAAATTAGTCACAGATGTGTTCTAAAATCATAAAGCATTCTATTTTTTGGGTTTAAATTTATTTAAAACTATTAAGTAAATTAAAAGTATCAAATGAAATATTTAAAAAAAAGTTATTTAAATCGTCATAATATTGTACCGATAGCGATCGTCACAGTGGAACTCCTTATAAACCAATTTAGAGGGAAAACATTAGAAGGGGGCCTATAATTTTATGCAACAGAACTTTTATTAATTAATATTCATTCGTCCGATCATTCATATTATAAAAAAACACATTTTTAATCGTGAGGAGGTTATAAAAGATTATTAACTGGTTGTCAATTGTCGAAATAGGAAAAATACATGTCACTTTTTGAAGATATTAAAAAACCTGTCTGTTTCTGGCCACTACTGGATCCAAAGCAAGTAATAAGATTCAGTGTTCGTCAATTTACTTGTTTCTCTGGCACTCGGTTTAACTTGTAGGATCTTCAATAATTTTCGGTTAGTTTTCAGATTAGTCCTATGGCTAATATAAAGAACCAACAATATAATTGAAGCTTATAATGAATATATTTATAATTTTTCTCTATCATAAAAGATGCGAGAGATTTTCGAAAAATGGAGCGGAAAATCGCTATTACCGGTAAAAATGTTTGAATGACGTTTCATACAAACAAATGCAAAATGGTAGAACATTAATTTCTCATTAACAAGACCTATTTGAGAATTACTTCAAGGTTGTACCTAATAATAATAATATGGGAATACCAAGCAATTGTTCATGTGAAGTATCCAAAAGTCCTCTGGAAAAGCGTCGTGTAGTTCAAAATTTGTTTTTTTTTTTCAAACAAACTAGTGGCACATAGATAATTTAATGGTTAGTCCTTATATAAAGATTCGAAAGTTTCTAGCTTGGGGAATAAAAAAACTCAAGTTATTTTAAAAATCATTTGAAACTATCGCATTCGGTTTTCCATTTTTCCGAAAAAGTGATTTAGCCCCGCCTAATATTTGACTTTGTGACAGACAATACGCATTGTTACTTCAAAGTAAGTTTCCTGGCGCGTAGATTGCTTCCGAATTCGACCATTCGACACATAAATAGCGGCGACAGCTTTCTCTCTTCAGTAATTGGATTTCTGTTTCCACAGTTCGCAATTCAAACTGACCTTGTCTCCTATGGGTGCGGGCAGAATAGATGGTCGACCAATCCGAGCTAATTAAAAAACGACAACAAAAAAAAAAGCGAAAACCTTTTTCTTTCGAATTATTCGCCTATCCAATTAGTATCGGTATCGCTCGAGGATATTAGCGTACCGATGTGACACACGCCATATTGAAGATTATCTGCCAATTTAACTCATTTTTAATAACAATTGATGAACAAGTGTTCGCAGCAACAGATAATCCCGATATGGCCGTTAGGATGCAGTGAACAAAGCAAAATATATGCATATGCAATTTAACTCGTAGTACAACTGGTAGAGAGGAATATGCGTCGAGATTGCAACACACAGGGTGTTTCGTTGTGCCAAAAACCATAAATTAGCATTAACAAATATGGCGGGAAAATAGTTTTATAGATGCAACAATAAAACATGACGGAAGTATTACTATTATTACA